TTAACAAACAATTTATGCGGCTCATATCGCTGACAGCCGGGCCGGCCCTGCACCACATTTTTTTTCTTTTATTTTTTAAGCGGCCCCCCTCCCCACTTTTGGCAGCACCCCCTGAGAAAAGTGACTTCCCGCGGCTATAGGCTGAAGCTTCAAAAGTAGAGCATTGCTCAACTTTTGAAAGGAACAACGCGAGCAAAGCGAAGCGACGGAACCACAATGCAGTTCGGCAACGCGTGACGTCACCCTTTTCAAAGTGATGGGCAGAAGCGTTGAAGGACTGGCTTATCTAAAGCCAGTTGAGTAGCACTTGAAATGTTTTAGCTCTATGAAACCTGATGTACTTATATGATTCTGTTTTCTTCAAGGTTGTATCTTCCTGGTCGAATGTACTTGCTTTGGATAAAAGCGTCAGCTAAATGCAATGTAATGTAATGTAATGTAATGTAATGTTGAAGCTTCAACGCACGCCGCCGTGTGGACGGGCCGTGACAGATAAATAAAGAGTTACTGAGTTGCAATATAATACAAAAAAACACTACTTTTAGAAGTATATCCATCGAGGCACTTATTAAACATTTTCTCTCCTATTTAATTATATTTCAATTATTTATAATCATTTGGTTCCCAGTCAGTGGAATAACCTGCTTTTTAACTGTAAAGGAAAAAAGAGTTACATACTGTATATGTTTTTAAATGTATGTTTCCAATCTTAAGACCCATCTTAACTTTACAGTTATATGTTGCATGCTGTAAACATCAACTTCTCCACTGACCCCTCCACAAGAAGCCTCTAAAGTATTATAAGATATATTGCTGATATGTGAAAAGAGATTTATACGGCAGGTTGTTTATTTGAATTTGACAGGATTTGCCTTATCCTACACTTAAAATTTGTGGTTCTATTTATACTACATTGGAAACGTATGGGACACCAAATGTATAATTTGAGGGTTTCGACATATCTTGACATAAGAATGAACTCTGATCCTGGATCAGAGTCTTAGTAGCAGCCAGAGTTTGACCATACACTCAAAACGTGGCTTTTTACAACTGAAGGCCAAAACTCCAACTTAAAAACAAGAGTTCCTGATAATGAAGGGTATTGATCATAATGATAATGATTAGAATTACACTAGGGAGTCGATTCAATCTCAGAGGGTTTGTGAAATAAGTAAAATCACACAATTAAGGTGCCTATGTCAACAATTCCCATTATCTGTCTCTTAACACTTTCTGACTTCCTTAACTCTTACCTCTTTTGCTAGGTTTCAGTTTTGCACATGTATCTTTGTATTAACAGCAGCTGAATAATGTGTATGGGATTTAGTCTGAATAGACTACAGTGTTTGAGTTCATGGTATTGAAGTGTGAGGCAGGGCAGATTATTAACGATGGCACAGAAAAACAAAATATATCAGGCTTAGAAAACTGCTTAGCTGAACACACTGTTTTGGTTTGAATATTTTCCAACAATTCATTGACAAGAAGAAAATCAGGTTGATCTCAACACAAAGTCTCAGCTATCTGCCACCCCCACTCCAGTGAGGCTTAGTTCTGACTCGGTCCTGCACGGATGTGTCCTTTCCAGAGCAGTGAAACAGCCCGCTGCTCTGACAGGCTGCTGCACACAGAGAAAGGACTGTCCATTGGCTGCCATAGGGACCAAGTGAAGCAGAAAGAGGCAACACCAGCTTCTACGAGGGGGGGCCCATTCAAGCACAGCAGATTCAGGGGGATTTAGGGAGCTCGTCTGCCAGCAATAAAAGGCTGAAACAGGATACTTGGTGAGATTAATTACCTAGATAGGCCACGATAATGCCATTTAAATGGGAAAGTAATTAAAGTGCACCTTCCATGAAAATTATTCATTGCTGACGGATTGGGTGACAGACAAATCAGGAGGCATTTACAGAAAAGCTACAGGTTAAGTGCTCCGAGCTGCTGCTCTGAGATCACCACGGTTTTATTGCAGCTGTTGAATCGTACTGCTTTGCCCAGCTCTCATCAAATTACTGCAAGCATGTGGAGCAGTGGAGGGTGGGGGGTGAAAAGAATGGGCTCCCAGGTAACGTAAAACCGGGGACAAATGCTACAAAGGAGGATCCGCTTAACTAAAAAATTACACTGGCTGGCAGTGGTCAGCGGGGACCGCTCCGAATCAATCAATCCTTCTGTTTAAGGCCACCATGGCAGATTAGAACACAAAGAGGAATACATCAATGGCCCTATTGTTCCCCAAGTGTTACTTTCACAAACGCACTGAACAATATCCATTTAGTGATGATAAAGTGTCAATAAAGTGGCCGTATAGATTACCACTGTGGACCTGGGGTATCAATTTACTCCCATGAGCATTTATTATTTGAATGATCGTGGTTCTAGGTAAGTAATTATCGAATCAGGCAAGAAACTCTGCCGTCTCCTTCTCTGAAGTCCAGACGCAAACATGCTGCAGGACAGTGGCAGCCAAACAAAACGGAATATCTGCTTCTCACGCAAAGCAACGGCAAGGGGGATTTTCAGATCAAAGTCAAATGCTTAGCTTAAATTCTTGTGTGCCTCTATGCTTTTTTTTCCTTTCGCATTGAGGGATTGGATGGGGAAATTCTCTTTGAATGTGCGATTAGGTTTGAACTTGAGGGAGATTACAACATCATCTTATATCACACGGTGTTGCACAACAAATGTAGCCAAAAATAGTCCTGGACGACCACAGCGTTCTGTGAAATCTCTAGACAAAATCACCATAGTCTAAATAATGCATTGCTTAGCCACACCCACTGTGTTCTGCTCTGACTATTGTAAAAGTTGCTATCGCAGTGTAACAGGCTGCGTGCTGCTGGATGGAGCATTCCCAATTAAAATCTATTTCCACAGACTCTTCCTTTCTCTCATTATATTGTTCATAGCTCTTTCTGATCGCACCTAAACCCCATTGCACTGGTCCCAAGCTGAGCATGTTCATGCAGTATGTACACACACACACATACACACATACACACATACACACACACATACACACAGGTCCTTTCGCCTTTCTCATAACCAATTTTACATCCTATTTTTGCACCTTCTCCACAGTGATTTTTCTGGCACAGAGATGTGAGCATCCGCTTGAATAAATATTAATGGTTATTCTATGAGCAGTGCCAACTCACAAATGTGCAGGAAGAACAAAAGGCCTTGTTTACAAGTATGCTTGAGGAACGCTCAGGCATGGAGGGCCTCTGAGGGGGCTCCGTGGCGCTGCCGACTCACAATAGAGTGCTGATTGAAACACACTCTTAACTTCCAGCATACATCGAGGGTGAAGACGGCAAAAATTCTCAACATGACCAATTTCTATTCAAGCGCTGCAAGGACTGAGCTGCAGAAATCAGGCTTATGAACTCGCAGCCTCTACTTAAACTCATTTAAGACGGAGCTGAGAGGTAATTAGGTTTCTGGGAACAATAAGCACTCAGCACCTTGTGCAGCTCCAGACCTTTCCTCTGTTGTAATTAGGAGAGGTGTGAATTCCTCATCAGATGGATCACCATCTGCATTCACACACTGCATGTTCATTCCCCCAGTCCCAGGCTGCGAGACTATGTTCCTGCTGATTATCATGCATGAGGAGGAGGTAGGGAAGCACGGAGGAAAGGCTTCTCTTTTTAAGGTTCTCTCGGTGCTATAGGATCCAGCTTCTCGCCATGCAAAGGTTAATCAATTCTGAATGATAAGCCATAAAAGCTTTAATAATGCAGCCATTCTCTAATGAGTGGTCCTGCACGCTCGTTCAGGGAGGGCCGATTGTTTTTTAGGAAGCTCCGACGTTCCAATTACATAAAGCTCAAGCCCAGAGAGCGCTGGACTCAGCGAGGGGAGCTGCTGAGAAGGGAATCAACATGAAGCCATCACATGACCATCAAGATCAACGCTGGTTATTAACTGGCACTAGAGATGAGATTATACAGAGAAAATGATTTTGATAAATTAATTATCTTTCTAATTTACAAACAACATTTATTGCGTGTATTTCCATGTATCTCTGAAGGTAAATCTCTCCCTGAGCTGTCCTACCACTGAACAGATGGACTGGGCCTCCTTGCTTTAAAGAGCTGCTAATCCAGAAGGAATATGATCAGTCTGGTTTTCAAATGAGTATTTGGTTTTGTATCATGGTCTCAATAGTGAGAATGTAGATGTCGATTGACTGAAAAAATATAAGATTTGAAAACTTGAATGCAATCGATCAACAAAATAACCAGCAACCTGACCCATGCTGGCTGTTACACTGATGAGAGTGACAGCACTTACTCAAAATAATAAACATGACACCATCTTGGCCAAGCACAACTCTCTTTCACAGTATCTAATGGATAATATTCCGCCGGGTTAACTGCGTAATTGACTGTTGTCAACATGACACGTGTAATTAGGAGTGACTCTTCAAGAGCAGCTTTTAATTGTTTTTTTCCTCTGGCTTTTTTCCTGCAGGTTATCCACTTCCTGCCATCCGATTGTCCTTGGCCAGGCGACCCTCTGGCACATTCCAGCGCATCTCTCTGTCACGAGCCGAGCGTGGAGAAAAAGATCAACCAAAACGCTGCAGCACACACACACACACACACACACACACACACACACACACACACACACACACACACACACACACACACACACACACACACACACACACACACACTATCACAGATACACACATCGAGAACACAGAGATATTTACTGTGCTTTAGCTAGTGGAAGCTGAGCAGCTTTACACATGGGTGGGACATTTACTCAAATACTGTCCTTAAGTACAACTTTGAGGTACTTGTACTTCACTTGAGTATTTCCATGTTTGCTACTATGTACTTCTACTCCACTACAGTTCAGAGGTAAATGGTGTACTTGTCCTCCAGTACATGTATTTAATACCTTTAGTTACTTCACAGATGTGGATGAATGATGTTAAATCAGACTTTAGTTCCACCTGGAGTAAATTCACAAGCTACCCTGCAGTATACAAAGTCATTCAAACTAGCTGCACCTTTACCAGCTTTGAGAACACTTTCATGATCAATCATTATAAAACACATCATATATATTATTCTGAAATGGAACAATCTGCACAATGACTACTTTAATAGATGTTGATGCTAATGCTTTTCTAAGTTTACTTGAGTGACCTTTTTCAATTCCGGACTTTTACTTAAAAGTATTCCTACACTCTGGTACTTCTATTTTAACTTAAGTACAAGTTCTGAGTACTTCTCCCACCTCTGGCTTTACATTACATTAAGGTGGTGACATTATGTAAAGAACCGATGATGTGGCAGGACATGATTGGCTGACACATGGTTCTACATCCAGCTGAAGCTCCCCTGCTCTTTATGCAGTATTTTTTAATCACCCCAGTCAGAACACTCTTTTGGGCCAGCTGTGTTTCATGGATGCTCAAGCATGAAAGAGGAATCTTGTTTGGTGGATCCATAAAAATAATGAATAAAAAAGGGCTTTAGACTTTGTCACTGGAAAATACAGCATTTGAATGATAGTCCATTCCCCAGAGAGTGAGCTCTTTACGTACCACTGGGGGTTCATCGCTAAGCTAATAATGTTGGCCACTGTAGTGCTGATACACACATTCAATGAATCCGGGTAATGCATACTGGGTATATACGTATTATGGATTTGATCAGACTATGGTCATCAATGCTAATGAGGAATCATTACCGTCGTTTGCATTTGACTACTGTAGACAAACAAAGCTCTGATTGACTTTTTGTAAAGTATCCACTAGTTAAATGTTTAGGGAAGCATTGTGTTAAAAGTAGCTAAAGCTGTTAAATAATTGTAGTGGAGTAAAATAAAAGTATATACCTTTTAAATGTAGTGGAGTAGAAGTATAAAGTAGCATTAAATGGAAGTACTCTAGTAAAGTGCAGTACTGAGTAAACATACTTAGTTATTTTCCACCTCAGGGGCCTCATTTATAAAGGGATATACGCTCAAAAAATGGCGTACGCCAGTTTCTACTCAATGTTTGCGATTTATAAAATACTAACTTGAAGGGAAAACGTGCGGTCCTCCACGCAAACTCTAACCCATGCTTACGCACTAAGCACAAAAACAGGAGAGACGAGAAACTGCGACACCATTGGCAGAAGGAAGAATGGAGAGAAATATGTGGAAATAATACCATAAATAAAATGTTACATCTCATTTATCATATATGAAGAATTCATTTTCAAACATTGATTAAAGCCAATCTTAAAATGATTTAACAAACGCCTGTTTGAGACTCCTCAGTGCATACAAAAACATAACTGGGAGAAATAAATAAATACGGATATGTTATTTAAAACCACATCGAATATGTTGTGTTAATGTTATGAAATGTTTTCTCATAAATGATGCAGTAAGNACAGGAAGTAAACACTAAAGGGAACAGCAGAAGAAGAGGGACAGGAAGTATTGCATGAGAGATGAAGGACATCTACTGGATTACTGTTCCCTTTAGTGTTTACTTCCTGTCCCTCTTCTTCTGCTGTTCCCTTTAGTGTTTACTTCCTGTCCCTCTTCTTCTGCTGTTCCCTTTAGTGTTTACTTCCTGTCTGTCTTCTTCTGCTGTTCCCTTTAGTGTTTACTTCCTGTATGTCTTCTTCTCCTGTTCCCTTTAGTGTTTACTTCCTGTCCCTCTTCTTCTGCTGTTCCCTTTAGTGTTTACTTCCTGTCTGTCTTCTTCTGATGTTCCCTTTAGTGTTTACTTCCTGTCTGTCTTCTCTGCTGTTCCCTTTAGTGTTTACTTCCTGTCTGTCTTCTTCTGCTGTTCCCTTTAGTGTTTACTTCCTGTCTGTCTTCTTCTGCTGTTCCCTTCTTTTTCTTTTTTTTTACGCGGCGTTGCTTCACACCAACCTCTTTCTTCAGAGCCTCGGGCGCCGTCCATTTGACGGGAAGTTTGGCGTTATCGGACTTGGCCTTGGAGACCACCTTCGTCAGCCCGAAGTCGCTGACTTTAGCCACGCTGTCGTCAGAAACCAGGACGTTACGAGCCGCCAAATCTCTGTGGATCAACTTCTTGGACTCCAGGTACTCCATCCCCTCACACACATCCCTGTACACACGCAAACACACACACACACACACACACACACACACACACACACACACACACACACACACACACACACACACACACACACACACACATATATATACGCAGACACACACACACACACACACACACACACACACACACACACACACACACACACACACACACACACACACACACACATATATATATGAAACACAACACACACAAATAGTGTGTAATAGTACATCAAAAGATAAACACAGTATTTTTCACACAGACATACTTATAGATGTCAATATGTAAAAAAAAATAATCTTATTTATTCTTGTGTGCACTGCCCCTGCTGGTCCTATCCTGTGTTTAACTCTTATCCATTTTTTTAACATCTTTTTTTATTGTATTTCATGTTATTTTAGCATATCTTATCGAATGCTATATTACTTTATGTTATCTTATTTGATGTTATCTTTTATTATCTTATGCTATCTTATCTCTCCTATCCTGTGTTATACTCTTATTTCATTTCATTTTATCTTAGGTAAAGACTTTCAAGGTCAGGTAAAACAATTAAAGTTTGTTTTATTAAATCATATTTAATTTAATTTAATTTAAATTGTTTGTAATGTATTTTTATTTCCTACTTTCTATTTTTTTTTTACCATGTTATTATTAATATTAAAGTGTTCTGTTTTGACAGGAAAGCACACAAAGTTCATTATGGTTATTTGATTTATTTAGGTCTGAACTCACAGAGCGAAGTGCAGCAGCTGAACTGAGTTCACCACCGATCGTCCTCGAGTCCTCAGGAAGTTCACAAGGTTCCCCTGCAACACAAACACACAGTATATTACTTTCATAAGACTCTATAAAATACATTCTCAGTTAGTGTTTTCATAAATATTCTTGCATTTATTCCGGCATGACTGGGAGTAATAGAGAGGCGAAGTCCCTCCCTTTCCGGTGACCACCATGGGACCTTATTTCGGAAAAATCATGTATTGAAGTCAATGGAGAGAGAAAGATTATCTTTCGATCCCGTTTGAATTGTTCCACAAATTACACATATAATGTTTGTCAATTTAAAAGATAATTTTGCAAGTAAAATAAATAAAAATGTGTCGTAAAACTGTGAAGTAACACTTTTTTTTTTGTGAAACCGCAATGAACTACATCTCCACCCTCGCACCACACACCAAAACGGCCGTCACGCTGGCACATTTCACTTCTTTCTTTCAGAACGAGGCAAAAAGTATTAAAAGAGGTGAAAATCACTACAAGTCTGGGCATGTTGAGAGCTGTACAGTCAACTTTGGTCAATTCGAACATTCCAGAGGTCTGTTATTTTATGCTAACAGACACACTCAACAATAAAGCCTAGAATCTTTTAAATAGTACAAATGGGATATCTTATGGTTTGCAAACATCTTAAGCCGGGCTAAACAAGTTATTCAGTGCTGTAAAATGCCACTTAATGTCAGATGTGACCTTATGTGAATCCTACAGCTACAACGAGCTCCTGGATTTGGTTTTAATACCATTAAGAGGAGAGGAAGACCAATTCTGACTCGTTAAAGCTGCGAGTCAGCGGCGGGTCACAGCGGCTGTCAGTGGTTAGAGGTTAGGGTTAATGTCATTGCGTCCCATTGGAGAAAACTGACTTAAACTAATCTTTGGATTGTCATCACCCAAACCTGTTTACACCTTTCAAGCTAATTCCGTCCCGAGACCATTTTAAGACCTTGTTTGGAATGTATGTTCCATCATTTATTGTCTATCATTCATGTTTACTCTAAAATGGGGCGGTGGTGGCGAAGTCGATAGCAACTTGGCTTGGCAACTGGAAGGTCACCAGTTCAAGTCCCGGCAAGACCAAGTGCTACCGAGGTGTCCCTGAGCAAGGCACCGTTCCCTACACTGCTTCCCGGGCGCCGTTCAAAATGGCAGCACACTGCTCCTAACACTAGGATGGGTCAAATGCAGAGAAACAATTTCCCCACGGGGATTAATAAAGTATATCAAAATCAAATCAAAATTCAGAAAGAAAAACCACGTTTGTAAATTAATAAACCACCAATATCTTTTTTTATCTGACTGGTTGTACATTTGTAGTAAAATAAAAGATGTGTTCATGGTGAGTCAGGTTTTGTTCAACATATAGATTTAGTTTTTTATTAAATAATTCCGAAATTATCCTTAATTGTCTCACTTCCTCCTAGATCCATCTAACACTAAAATATGAATTTATGATAGTCGTTAAAACATAGCTTATACTTTAGCTTATGCTAGTTGAATTGAGCTAACGTTAGCTGCATTTGCAGTGGAAAGCTAGCGATAAACAAAACTTAGTGATTGTGAGCATTATGACCGACAGGCATATATTCTCCCTGCTGGCGCTCATGGGAAATGCAGTTTTTTTCTAGTAGGCCTTCAGCCTTTTAACGGAGATTGTATTTCCTGCTTCATTGTGGGTTGTATGAAGGTTTCAAAACTCATTCACTTTTTACCTGTTTTTTGTTACTTGTAGTTATTATAATCTGTTTTTATTTTAAGTATCGCTGATAAATGATGCTTTCACTGACCTTAGTCATGAGCTCTGTGACGATGTGAAGCCCTTTGTGGAGCATCACCCCCAACAGGCGCACCAGGTTCTTATGCTGCAGCTTCCTGGAGGAGTGAATCAATATTTACAATAAAAACACAGTTTAAATGTCACTTAATTTCAACACATATAACACTTTTTTTTCCTCTATATCAAGCAAACTCAGTGAAATCTGGTTTATTCACAATATGCAGTGGAGGGAATTACATTTCCTTAAAGGGGACCTATAGTGCAAAATGCACTTTTGTACGTCTTTTGTACATGAATTATGTGTCCCCGGTGTGTCAGGGAACTCACCAAGTGTCAGAAAACACAATACCCTCCATACCCAAATCTCTAAAAACGGGGCTGCAACGGATCTGATTATTATTTGAATTTTTCTGACGTCAGAAAAGGGGTGCTCTGCCTATATGGGCAACTCTCTACCTATCAGGGGAATGAGAGGTTGAGCCACGGCCACGGCCATTGCCGCTCGAAAGCGCTGGAGACGCTGTAGTACATATGCCAGGCCTGTAAGTGGCGCTGTAGTCTGCCACAAAAGCAGCGAAGAAGACTTCCCGCGCATGGTTGCCCTTCTGTTTAGTCTCCGCTGTGGACGCTCTGGCTCTTTTTCTCCCTCCCTGAGGCAAGCACTGTAATTCTCACCGGTAGTCCACCAGCAGATGACAAACACCCACCTCTCCGCCTCTTCCAAGGGACGAGGGGACGTGCGGCAACGTTTCAGTTCGATTTTTTTTCGCCGGTCAACATGTCAGTTAAAGTTTAAATCTTCCGGACAAAATTAGAAAAGTGCCGGTCAAAGGTCTTCTTTGTTATTTATTGAGCTTTAAAACAAATGAATAATGACTCTATATAATCATATCAGAATAATACACATTAAAGCTACGTCACAGAATCAGCCCTTGTAAAAACAAGGCTGGAAAAGAGCAAATAGAGCGAAATTACGCATGGCTAAAATGCATGATCTGTTTGGTATTTTGAAAAGAACACTTCACAGACATGTTTTGGTATGGCCCTATATATTTTTCA